AATCTATTCACATTAATAATCACTAAATACATACTAAATATTCTAACTTTGTAAAATGAAATCGTAAAACAATGAACCTGAGATCGTTCTTTAAAGCTTGAAACCTTCTACTTTCAAACTTTGTCATTCATTTTATTTTTAAATGTTTCTACATCACGTGTGTAAAAACGATGAAGAACATGTGTGTAAAAACATTACAAATTCCTTTTTAATTAGATCTATTATGATTTTAAAAATGATTGATTTAAAAAATGATTTTAAAAATCTTCCTTTTTACAATAGTCCCCCTTTTACGATTTTCTTTTTTTCCTACTTTGTTGAACGGAGAATATTAGGATTCAACGACAAAAAACGAAAAAACAATTTCATCGTTTAACTCTAACGTTCCAAGTTCAATAAACTAGTGAAAAAAGAAGAAATAGTATAGCAAGTTTTAAGAGCTCGTTGTAAAGAGAAAATTACATTCTTCAGAACTATAGTGGATTTAGTTCACAAAAATTGTTGTTATCTTTTCACATTTGATTCTTTACAATTATTGAGAAGAAAGTATCTTCACTTTACCACCTGCTTGCATGATGTAAAATCAATTCAAAATGACACCAAGTAAATCATCATGATCTTCTTTTACGAAGTTATATCAGCTTAAATCATAATAATTTGACAATTTTTCATTGTATTATACATCGCTACAGGTCTGCTCTTCACTGTAACTTCACGAAACTCGGAATTAGCAATGTAGTGAGTTGAAAATGCTGGCATCCCGAACAGCTAAGTCGAATGGTTTATGCTCCGCCGACATCCGACGTGGAACGAGTTTCATTTAGCTTTGCGGTTGAGGGTTCGGGGCATTACGTTTGATGAACTGCGGTTACGTCATCGAGATCTATCTTCCTTTTAGAACCAAAGAATTTTCCACGATTGTTACTCTTAATCAATTTGTTCCCCTATATTTATTATTCCATTCTATTGTAGTTGAAAAAAAAAAGAAATCTAAAATCATCGTTTGTGAGAGCTGCAATTTTCAGAGGAAAGAATTTCGCTCATCGAAGGAATGATCACGAATTTTCCAATAGAAATGCTATTTTGTCGATGGAAGACAGTCTAGAAGCGAAATTACGGGATTCCTGTGGTGAAAAATATTTCTAAATCTGAGATAAATTATTGATATAAATTGGAATAAATTGTATATTTTTAATACAAAAGTAAATTATATAGTTTATAATTTATAAAGTTTATAACAATGTATTTATTATAACTGTATTATAATTTATCATATGAAATGATTAATATTCCTTCTACATTAATCATTAGTCAGATTACGTTTCATCCGACTTTGAACGAATCGAAATCGAAATCGAAATTGGGCAATTTTCGATCGACGATTCGTTGTCGCGTAGAGTCCACGGAAACAGCATGTTCGTTCGGCGAGTGGCCACGTATGCGGCCATTAACACCGCGAGCCTTATTGAAAATACCCGATGAAACGAGCGGTTAAGTGCCTCGATCGCTTCTCGAACGAGTTTGTCGATCGCTAGTCACGACTTTTACCTTTGAGCGTTCGAATTGATGCCGTGAAACCTCAGCTTGTCGGATGCTTATCGCGCGCCATTGCCACGAATCCTATCTCTCTATTTTCTTTCTTCGAAATTTCAAATATCGAAGCTTCTCGCGCGTTCGTCCGTAAAATATAATAGCACGAACAAAGATCTTGAACCTACTTAGAGTAATAAATGCCGAATATTACTCGAAACTTTCGATGAAATTCTTTCCAAAAATCTCGCTAACATCAGCGAGATATCAGTTTTCTTCTGAACACGACTTCATTTTAAAAATCTCAAGCAGTATTAACATTCAATATCGCGAAAACTTCAAGACTCAGTACTGAAATATATATACAGGGTGTTTCGTAACTTGTGGGACCCACTTCGGGAGCTGATTGTACGCCTAAAATTAATGAAAAAATGTCATATAAATATATGTCCTATCTGTCTTCGTTTATGAGATACAATGAATTTTCTGTTTTAATTACTTTTACAAAAGATCCTGCTTGAAATGACCAGCTTGCATTTGAAGACAAGCCTGCACGCGTCTTGTCATTCATCTGGTTACTCTCTCAATCATTCCTGGTGTTTCTCGAATTTTTCGGAAGCCTTACTCTACTCTATTTCGTAGTATTTCAGCATGCGTATTCAATATTTTATGCGTATACAATAGATTTTAAATGTCCCCACAAATGAAAATCTAATGGATTGAAATCCGGAGAACCAGCAGGCCATGCAATAGGACCATTTATCGGCAAAGTGTTGATTTAAAAATTGCCTAGCCACTCGGTTAAAATGCGGCGGAGCTCCATCATGCATAAACCGCATACGAATAATCTAATATCGACTGGAACTTCCTCTAATATTTCGTGTAAATGAAAAATCAACGTACTTTGTGCCTGTTAGTTTCCCATCAAGAAAAAAAGGTCCAATTAAAAATTTATCAATTATTCCTGCCCGTACGTTTAAACTAAACTGGTGTTGATGTCTTGAATGCACAATAACATGTTGGTTTTCTTCATCTCAATTATGATTATCATGAAAATTGAATATATTCCTGGTAAAACTAGTTTATTAGAGTTTGCTCTCTTTATAAAATTCATTATATCTCATAAATGAACACAAATAGGACATACATTTATATGACTTTTTTTCATTATTTTTTTGGCGTACAATCAGCTCCCGAAGTGGATCCCACAAGTTACGGAATACCCTGTAAAATGATCCCATTGAACACCACTGATTGTGACAAACATCTTACAATCTTTCTATGATTAATTTCAGGATATAGTAATCGCGACAATCGAGTCTCGTAACATCTGGAATGTCCTTTTCATTCATGAAAATTCCTGAACAAAGTTCTTGTTTCCTGTCTGCAAATGTTCGAATGCCTTTCCTCGCACCGATCAATTATACCAGTTAATACTTCCGACGAGGGGGCGGGGCGGGGGCAGGGATTCCGCGCTACCGTTTCGCAATCACTCACAGAACCGTTATTGTCCCGTAAGCGGTGGGATTAACGACGTCCACGGGCGATAGATATCCGCTGAAAGAAAGAAAAACTCGCTCTCCTTGTCCCGGCGCGGCCAATTACTCTAGATTCTTTACTTTCGCGCGAGAAGCCTCGTGCCTTCAGGTCACGAATAGCTCGTGCGCGTACATATGTACGCGCACGCTCCTGCGCGACCGCGGCATAATTCCCAACGAATCGGACAACGCTCGCGATCGGCGGTGGAATTCCGATTCATATCCGCGACACCTGCGCCCGATCCCCTTTTGCCTTTTTTCCCTTCCTTCCTTCTGTATCCAGAAACTGTCGTTGGGAAACCTAACCCAAACTACCCAGCTGCATGTTTCGAAATCTCCGCTGATTTATTGTACGCGAAGTACGAGGTGAATGAAATTGATTCGCGCGCGATTCATGCGAACTGTGATGCATAATGGAAACGAGGCACCAGTGATATAAGTTGGAAGAGAATAATCGGCACGCGTGGGTGAAAGGGTGATAGTTCAAAGGTGGCAATGAATCGAGATGAATAAGATACAGGTTATCTGCAGCGATTCGTATTGATCTTTTAGATGCATAAATTATATAATCCTCTTGATAATTAATAAGTCATATTAATAAGTTAATTAAGTATTTTAATCGTGAGTTGTATAAATTATAAAATATATTGCATTTAATATAATGCATACTTATAATATTTTATAGTTATAAATTATATGTTTAAATGGATAAATTATATAATCCTCTTGATAATTAATAAACCATATTAATAAGTTAAATAAATTGTAAAATACATTACATGTAATATAATGCATACTTATAATATTTTATAGTTGTAATGTATAATAAATTATATATTTAAATACGTAAATTATATAATCCTTTTATAATTAATAAATCATATTAATAAGTTAAATAAGTATGAATTATATAAATTATATGTATAATGTAATATAATGTATAATTTACAATGTAAATTATATATCCTTCAAATACGTAATTAAACACGTAAATAATTAATTATTTACTTCACGCAAAAAGTGAAACGCTCACTGTAACATCGGTATTAGATAATCAACTAATTTAGATTAGGTTTATTAGTTTAATCGCACATAATGATGTTGAAGTATTAACGCGTGTCACTGTAATAATAAGAATGGAACGGCTCGAATTGTGAACAGGATTAAGCTCCGTTCCAAACTGATGACGAGGTGAATGACGAGGACGTGACGACGAAAGAGAGAAACCGATTAGAAGGGCTATCCCAGGCTTCTGAATCTACTTTCTTTATTTTCTCCCTAGATAGATGCTTGAATTTATCCAGAATATTGCGCAGAATATTACGTAATTTCCACTCACCCTTGAAGTTCTTCGATCTTACTCGCTACCATTTGACGACGAGAAACGACGTAAAACGCGTGATAGATCAAACGAATACTCCATTGTCTGTTAATAAAACTATCGTGCACTGTCAGAACTGACAATAGGTGATCGTTGACCCTGTTCTCTGTTCGCAAGCTGGTTGCGCCGTGAGTAATGCAACCACATAGGCGGCCGAGTACCAAGGCTCGTTGTCGAAGACCAATTCCTCGAGTTCCAACTCGCCTCAGTTGTTTCACTATAATTCCTGCGCGATATCGCTCGTTCTTCGCCATTCCTGTTTCCTCTCCCCCCTCTTTTTTCACCCTTTCTCGCGGTTTTACTTTTTTTTTTTATCATTTTTGCGTGTTTCTACGCTCGAAAATGTTCCAGACATTTTCTTCTTCTTTCTGACTGAAGGATTTCAGTTCGCGCAGTAACAAATTTTATATAATCCTGGTCTTCTTATAATCAAGTTGTATATTGCTTTGTCAGAATATGAGAAGTGTATTTGCGTAATAAGCGTCACTACAGAAGCTCAGTACAACAAGAGAAACAATAACATTTTTATTACGTGAAGAAACATAAAAAGGAAAGGGAGAAAGCGTGTAATTTCGACCAATGATGTACTAAGCTGTGCATATTATTTCTTAACGTAATTCGTACGGCATCAGTCATCCGTGTCTCGTCCCTGCTTCGTCGTTCACACAGACTTCAATACCGTGAAGTACGAGAAGGACGTTTTCATGATCTGAGAAATGATGCATCGATGTACGCGATGTATGTTCTCGTTCGAATAAAATGTTAACTGCGGACTAAGAAAAGGATATTTACCTTGGAGAAATTTTCCAAATTCATAGTTAATAATCCTCCGGCTGATATAGTCGGAGAGTTTAAGCAACTTCTCATTACCAATACGAATAACAGTTGCGTCCTCTTGTTAGCATTATACCACGACGCGTCGTGTCTGTGAACGACATAAATTTGTTCAGAAAACAAAAAATGTAATGTTGAATTTAGTTCAATTCTTAATTACTGCATCAACAGAAACAAAGAAACTTTATTATAGGTCTTCGTAGAAATTAGGGTCCAATTATTATATTTCATTGTGCTCGGTTCGTGCATGATTCGATGATAGTACAGAGTGGAAAGAAAAGTTTGTCCTTGAATATCAGGACCAAAAAATTTTTTTTTTTTCTTGCATTGTATTCTACTCATTACGAAGATGAAACTTTTTCAAGGAACCGTAGATCCCAACTTACAATAGTTTTCTTGAAGAAAGTTTCTCAATCATTCGATACGATCCAGCAACAAAAATTGACTTTAAGACAATATACTTACTATAATTGACCTTTATATGATGGCACACGTTGAAAATTAATGGAAATAGCATTATCTTACATTTTTCAATATCCATCGGTTACTTACATCGACTGGACAACTTCGTCGTTCGAATTCACTATGAATTGTCCTTGCAACGATATGAAACCTAAATGGACTATCTGGCAGAAGAAAAAGAAACCGTCCTTGAGATATTGCGCAGAGATTTCCATGTACGATGAAATCTGTGTGTGGCACGATGTTGAAGGTTTAGTGCGAACTTGCGCGTTAAAAATGCTCACCTTTACCAACGTTACGCTGAATTCTATTATTATGAAAATCATGCCAACGAACAGATAAACGGAATGAGTGTCGTCGATAGTTTTCACGTAGCTGTTTCCGAAGTCATTGAAGCGTAGCCCGTCGTCGATTAAAAAACCGCAGCGATGAACATGAAAACACGCAGACAGATGCGTTAAATTCTCCCAAGGAGTTTCAGAGCGAGAAATCAGATAAAGAGGAACGGCGAAACGAAGATTCAATCCAACTTCGATACAAACTTTATAGCGTGTTGGTGGGCACGAATCGAATGGAGCACTCTTCTGTAACTCTCGTTTTGTACGTCGCTCGGATCTTTGACATTGGACAAATCTAAAATCGCGTTCTTGAGACGATATCTATGGAACAATTCACGTTCGTTATAGTTTCACATTTCAACGAAAAATCATTCGATCCGGCTTGATACTTGTATCGTTTTACCCAGTCACTGCTAACTGTCCGCAGGCGTGTTGCACAATGAACATGTAACTCGTGTCGCAGCCAGTGAACACATAAAACGACGAAAAGCATAGGCATGCTATGTGGACGGTGATCAACGTGCGATACTTCCGATCGTCGATTATGTAATAAGCTGGAAAAATGTACACGATACCCCGCGACTCGTTCTTGGGTAAAATCACATCCAAAATAATTGGCATTAAGGATGGTTCAAGAAAACATACTACGGCACATGTGAAGCTAAACCCTGTAAATTAATTTTGAAAGCGTGCGAATTTTATGTGCATTTTTTTTTTTTTTTTTTGTTTTTTGTATATACTCATCTAACCGATATGTATCCGACAAAAGATGTCTGCTTTTACGGCGTATTGCTCCATTATGTCAAATTCGTCTTTCGTTCTGTTAGTTGCCCAATCGTCCCATATGGCATCAAGTAACTCCTTGTACTTAAATTTTGTCATTCAATATACACAGAGTGGACCAGTTTAAATTGCATCGCCTAAATAACTTCATTATTTTTAGAGATACGGATGAACTTTGTCAATAAAAGCTGTTCAATACTATGGAAGGGCCATAATATGATTTTTTTGTAGGTGGGTAGGTCTCGAAGATTTCAAGGTCACTTCCGCTTTTTTAAATCTACTGATATATTTTTTTTTATTCACTATTCAATGCATTTTTATATTCTCTATAAAATACATATATAAGTATATATATATATATATATATATATATATATATATATATATTTATATTAATTAAATTTCGCAATTACATAAAAAAATCTGCAATGATTATAAATAACAAATTCATTATTAAACAAAACCTGTGTGGATATACCTATATATTTTAAGAGTTACTTATCACGTTAGTGTTTTTCCCACGTTATTTCTATCTACAGATAAAAGAAGAGTAACGTAAAATGGAAAGTGCGAATGCAGAAATCTCGTTTACCTTCTTATTGTTGATAATATAGTTCGTATGCTTGAGGATAGTCCCGACTGTCAGAATTAGGAAAAGTAGCTGGAACATCAGGAGATCCGCGCTATAGAAACGCACGAGGTATGCTACCTGCAATCGGTGAACGATTACAATAATAAAAAAACAATTTTTTAAATTAACTTTAAAATTTATTAAATTCTCCTGCTAGTGTACAGTGACTTCTATCAATATTCAGATGCTGAAAATTTTATAATACTGTTATAATTTTGTAAAAGGAAAATTGTACAACAATAAACTTCTCCACTTCTCACATCGTTCATTTTATTCTAAGATGTTTCTAATATCACACAACGGGTGGGCGAGTCAAAATATTTTTTTTTTTCGAAAATGCTATAAATTGTTGTAATACGTAAAAATAGTAAAACATTTTTCATATCAGGCGAAAACGAAGATATTATAATATAACAACGAAGATGTTAACAATTTGATAATATTCAAAGTTCAATAAATTGATGAAAAAGAAAGAATCAGGTTTTTCAGGGGTTGTTGTAAAGTTGTTAATCTTCAAAAATCATAAAAAGATTTTTTCAACGATTTTGCATACTATGACAATTTGTAGCATTTTCGTCTTTATTTTATTATCTGCTACATAGCAGTAAAAATAAAATGAACGATGTATTTTGAAAGTAGACGTTTCATATTTTAAAATGAACTCAAGTTTATCGTTGTAGGATTTTTTTCTTTACAAAATTGTAACAGTTTATTAATATTTTAGAATTATTACACTGTATGTAAGACTACTAAGAAAATTGTGAATTTTATGATAAATTCACATCGCCTATATATATATAATCACCAATTAACCATTTACATATTAAACCTTGAAACCTCTGTCACGCAGCAAATTTTTGTAATTTATGTCTATATTTGTTCAAATATAAATTAATATTTACGCACCTGTGTAAAAAACGAAGTCAAGACAAATACGTATACAAACACTCGCATGGCGTATTTCGAAAGTTTATTCTGATCAGGCCAAATTCCACACAACATGCCACACATTTTAACTATCGTCATGTATTTCTTTTCCATCGTGGCTTTGTCCATAGTAGAATGAGAAATGAATTCTGAAGTTTATAGGCTGTATATGCGACTGACGTTTGAAGAGCGGCAACAAAGTGGTTAGAATTTTAGCCGGTACTTTCAACTATTTTCAACTGTGCAATATTTAGCCAGCCGATACAAGCAAGCATGTTCTTTTTATTTCCTGAACTCTCGTGAATAAGGAATGAGAGTTCGTTCCCCCTTATTAAATGCATAGAGTACCATTTGTAGAGTACCAATCCTTTAGAGTACCATTAATAATTCTAACTCCTCTCAATGCAGATACGCTTTAAGTTAATGCGTATTTTTGTCATTATATCGTTTAAAAGTCGCTCGGGAGATCGAATGCAATTAGCTTGAAACATAGAAGGTTTTGTAAAAAAAAAAAAAGTTTAGCATTGAACTCGACCGAAGTATTTTCCTAGTCGGTCAGTATTGAATAGTTCATAGAAAGAGAATTGTGTCTACTAAAGTCTCCTGCTAGTATTGCTTGTATTGTTCGATTAATTCTTCGAAGTGAAGATTTTGGCTGTTGGTTAATTTTATGTTGCAAAGGTTTAAATGTCTTCGTTGTTTTTTGAGATATGAAAAGATTTTATTAACATTTTAAATGGAACGATATGTTTTCTCATTCATTATATATATATATTTTTATAAAATTCTAAAATATAAGATTCAAATATCTCCTAAACTAATAATTTTTCAACATACGTAGGTTAATAATATCTGTATATATAATATAAAATATTATGTAATAATATAAACAACGGAGATATTTGACGTGGTTAACTTAAGTCTCATTGATTATATTACTCAGGTGAAGTTTGCTGTGTTAAGAAGGTGTGTAAAAATTGTCATTGCATCTATGTTCGTAAATACGGGAATTTATGTGTGACGTGGTTTATGTTTGTCGACGCGTCTCCACTTTTGTTTCTACGCTATTTTTTGGAAAACAAGTCGTCTCTACGGTATTCTCTTTTTGAAATTATTTTCTTGTGTACGTATTATTTTTGGATTGCATTGAGTGACCTTCGACACATCCTACTGACATTTTCTCATTTGTATTATATAAAATATGCGGAAAATGCTCGCAAATATAAAAAAAAAAGATTCAAGAAATGAAAGGAAAAAAAAAAAAAAATGGAACTCTAGTGTTTTAAAATGATATAAAAGTAATTCGTGGCAAGGAATCAGTTCACGCGTAGACAACTGGTAGAGATAGAGTTTGCGTCAGTCTTCATTGTTTGTATAATTGTTTACAAAACGATTTAAAAAACTCCACGTGAAATTTCATAACAATAACTAATACTAAGTTATGCACTGTTTGCCTATCAACGTTTGTTCGTTCGGTAAACGTCTTCCACAGAGTGGTGATGATTCACGAGGATTTCAATACCGTGAAGTATGAAACAGATCCTTTTATGATCTGAAAAACATCGTGTGTTTTTATTTCAGTGTCAAATATTCAGTTAAAATACTTGCGCCTTGATTTGCAAGTTGAAAACTGAATCAACGTGTACTTACTTGGGCAAAAGTTTCTAAATTCAGGGTAAGTAATCCTCCGGCTGACAGAATCGGAGGACTCAAGCAATTTCTTAGTGCTAATACAAACAACAGTTGCGTCTCTTTATTGGCATTATACCACGACGCGTCGTATCTGTGAACGATATGAATTTATTAATAAAACAAAATTATAACAAGCGACTTGATTGAATCTGAAATTTTAATATTAATCGGGTAAATTGAATGTATCGAAATTGACTTTGAGTTAATGCCGACGGTTCTTGTCAAATCTGACAAATTGAAAGTAAACTGCAGAGACACGAATAACAAAATGTAAAATATTTTGAGCAATGTTTGTACATTTTTTCAACATACATAAATATGTGGCTCACTTACATTGATTCGGCAATTTCATCGTTTGCATTCAGTACGAATTGTCCCTGTGACGTTAAAAAAAGTATGTGTATCAGTTGACTCGAAAGAAAGACACCGTCCTTGATGAGAGGTGCAGAGATTTCCTCGTACGAGGCAACCTGTTTCGAAAGCATTCGTTTCAAACGTGTTAGTTTAGTCGTGGAATAGTTTAATACATTTTGTATCGCGTTGTTTACATAGAAGTGAAACGTAAAGACGTGGGAATTCATAATTTTTTCAATTTACCAAATAAAATAGAGTACAAAAAAATAAACAAATAAAATTTGATATGTAGAATAACAGAGAAGTGGTTTAATGAGAAAACGAAACAGGAAAATGTTTACGTACGAAAGATTTACGTAAAATATTTTGGTTATATGTTAAATGAAAGCTCACCTTCAACAACGTGACACTGAAAGCCACCATCACGAAAGCGACGCAAATGCAAAGATAAGTGACGTGACAGTTTTCGATAATTTTCAGGTAACTATTTTGAAACCATCGAAACAGGATCAGTAGTGGATTCATCGTCGATCGAAGATTTAATAAATAGATGAAACATAAAATATAAAATGCGTTAAAAGCTTTCAGAAAAATAATGATTAGTTGAGAAAGAATGTTGCAGTGATTACTGTTAATATATTCAGTTTAAACTGTTAATATACTTAAATGTTTAAACTGTTATAATTTTGTAAAAAGGAATTATACAACGATGAAACTGACGTGTTTTGAAGCCTCTAATTTCAAAATGCATTAAGTAGAATTATTTTATTCTGTAATGTAATGTAATGTAATGTAATGTAATGGATAAAAGAAGATATTTTTCTTCTCATAATGCTATAAATTAAATATATTTTTTCTTATAATGCTATAAACTTTTATAGTGTGTGAATGTAATATTGAACAACTTTTTTCTTTCTTTTTTATTGAACTTTGAATATCAGGCAAAAACGAAGACTTCTTGATTTCAATCAGAATTCAATAAATTGATGAAAAAGTAATCGTACAGCAAGCTACATAGCAAAAGTATCTTAGAATAAAATGTGGCCAAATTTCTTTTTACAAAATTGCAACAGTTTCGATATTCAATTGTCCGAATAATATTGACGTAAATTTAATGCCAATTTTAGTACAAACTTTATAGCATGTTGGTGCGCCTGAATCGAATGGCGCACTCTTTCGTAGTGCTTATCCTGTACGTCGCTCAGTTGTTTCACGACAGACAGGTCTGAGATCGCATTCTTGAAACGGTGGCTGTAAAAGGAAATTTTACGTTCGACGTTCAAACAATTACAAACTGAAATTTTATTTCTTTCATTCGGTTGATGTTTCTTTTACCTGGCCACTGCAATCTGTCCGCAGGCGTGTTGCACGACGCACACGTAACTCGTATCACAGCCGACAAACACGTAATACGCCATAATAGTTACGTAGGTCAAATGGAGAATTATAAACGAACGATACTTCCGATCGTCGATTAAATAATAAGCCGGATAAATGTACAGCACATCTCGCGTTTCGTTGGTCGGTAAAATTATGTCCAAAATAATTGGCGACAATGCTTGTTGGACAAAACATCCGGAACAGACCATGCCGACTCCTGTAAATTGATCAGAACGGATCAGAGTGATTGCAGAAGAGTGAAAACGTCGAATTTTCGAGGTGATTTTTTTTTTTCTTTTCTTTTTTTACTTTACCGAAATACATTCGACAAAAGAGATCTGTTCTCTCCGCGTATTCCACCATAATCTCCAGTTCGTCCTTCGCTCTGTCTTTCGACCAATCCTCCCAAATGGTGTTGAGTAGCATCTTGTACTGCAAGTCAGTTCAGTTTCATAATATACGAAAGTTTAAATCTGTCGTGTATGAGCAATTTCGACTGTTAGAATGTTAAAATAATTGGAGAGATTTTGATGATGCGTGAAATTTTAGAAATTCGTGGAATCAAACAATTTCACATTTCGTACACTTCATAAATTCGTGTTTCGCTGTTGTTCAACAATGGACGAAAAATATTGTTCTTGTAAATAGTAATAAAAGTATAATCGAAATGAGAGATCCTACCTGAGTAGCGTTGATAATATAGTTTCCTTGCTTTATTAGTACCCCGGATATTAGAAACAAAAAACAGATTTGCTCTATTACGGCGTCCAGGTTGAAAAAAGACACGAGTTGTGCCACCTACGATCGATTAGTTTGACAGAGAAAGAAATTTTCTAGCACATAACGATGTTACAAGAATTCGATATTTCGCGAAAATAATTATGTATATGACAATGACAATTGCAATGTTGTTACTAAAGGGTGTTAGTATAATGTTAGTATAAAAATTACACGGAATGAAATTTTACACTTTGACAATTAAATTATAGCTTCTGTTTCACATAATTTTTATTTGTTTGAAAAAGTAGATTTTACATTTGTATAATTTCTCATTTTTCATACTTTTGTGCTTTACTTTCACTTGTATAGATTAAAGAAGCTGTTTCATTGTCAAAATTAAATTAATAGAATAGGCTGACAACTATCGTTAAATCTTCGTATAAAAGTCGAAAGTTTATTATTCTGAATATTTCCTTCAATCTATACGACTGACAAAAATATATATGTGAAACGAAATATTTCTATATTCCAATCGTATATACTATTTTTTGAAATAAATAAAGAAACAAGTGAACCTCATAGTGCGAGTTCAAAATAAATAAAAAGTGAAAGACCATGACATGCACAAATATCTATTCTTGCGAACATTTGCGATCGAATAGTCGCTGATCTTGATTGTAAAACAGGTATTACGTGTACCTGAGTAAAAAGCGACGACACACTGATGATGTATATAATCGTTCGTGCGACAAGTTGCGAAAATTTACTCTGATCAGGCCAGATACCGGTCAACACCGAGCACATCTTGGTTACCTTCATATATCTTTCTTCAACCGTGGTTCTGTCCATGATAAAACGAGAAGCTTATCTGAGGATTGTTTGCACGCGAGTATACGTATAAAGGGTAGCAGAGAAATTTGTTAAGTGAGTGAAATTTACCTGTCTACCTTCACTTCCGTCCGATCATCCAATATTTATCGGAACGATGCCAGTGTACCGTGACCCTCGTGAAAAAAAAATAACAGTTTGAATGATTCATCCTCGCCCCCTTGAAGTCTATACACCATCGAAGTACTTTTGATAAAAAGAAATATGGCAACTTAATGGCCGTGTGAGTGTGTGTCGCCGTCGTTGTGACGTTCGTCACGGAAAATACCATTTAGAAGCGTTAGCTATTCTAGTCGAAATGGTCGGATTAAAAGTAGTCGAACGACTACGAGTAATTAGATTGAAACGTGGTAGGTACCTCGGTTATCTACCTTGAAACGAGGTTGACAGTGGAAAGTTTGAAAAAGAACAGTCCGAACGTGTAGACAGTTGTTCCCAGTGCTGGAAACTAGTCGGCCGGTTGAAGTGAACGGTCGAACGATGCGGAGAAGATCTGTACGGATTTTCATTTCGTTATCTTCTTCATCGAGCGAACAGTCGAAAGATATTTTGTCTCCCTTGTCAGTGTTCTCTCTCTCTCTCTCTCTCTCTCTCTCTCTCTCTCTCTTTCTCTCTCTTTCTCTCTCTGTGAGAAAGTGCCGCGAGCACGTTTAAGCTGACCTAGTCCCACGGTCTAGATTCACGGTTAATATTTTGCAACGAGATTAATAAGCGATCCGATCGTGTGCGCGAATAATTCAACCACTCGCTTCTGCCAGTGATGTCGCTTGTACGTATATGCAACTAATCGAATCGTTCAGGTAAGCTCAGCTACGGATAATGGAAATTTTAAGTTTAAATGGACTGCTGTCAGCACGCGGGTTCGAAACTAATTTTCAAAGTCCTCGGAACTTTGATGCTTGAAACGCTGAAGAGAAATCTCCTACAAATTTTCATTTGTCACGGTTAAATAAAATACAAATAATAACATGGAAAATTGTCTAATCTGGATTCTTGATTGGGAACACTAACGTCCGAATTCTTGTTAATTTAATGAACAATATAAATATTAATAATATGTATAATGTATATATTATAATATAATATATAAAATATAATAATATATTATAGTATAATATAATATATAAAATATAATAATATGTTATAGTATGATATAATATATAATATAATAATATGTTTATGTATTAATTTCTAACTCACATTTTTAGATTAATTTCGAGTCTCGTAACAGCCAGTCACTCGGTATTGTTTACGTATGAAAATATTTAAATTTTTGATATTTCGATATTTCTATTAACACGTATTTTCGGTAAAAAATACGGACCTGCGTGGATGTTGCTTACAGCAAACTCACGCATCGTGTGAACTGTCAGCGAATTTTCAAACATCCCGTACAAATATTTTCACTCATCAAATTATACATACAAATTATACATACAAATTACTTCAGCCGCGGCAGGGCAAGGACAAGATAATTCTCAAAGATATTTCGCGCCACCGTTTTCATAATTACTCATAGAACCGTTATTGTCCCGTAAGCGGAGTGATTAACGACGTTCACGGGCCGATAGATATCCGCCGAAAGAAAGAAAAACTCGCTCTCCTTGTCCCGGCGCGGCCAATTACTCCAGATTTTTTACTTTCGCGGGAAGCCTCCGGCACCACGAACCGGCTCGTATACCTGCACGAGTCGAAATCACGATATAATTTCCAACAAATCGAGCAACGTTCGACTAGCATGAAATTAATACCCGTGACGCTTCGTATCCGCGAGCACGTATGCAGCTCGCCGAAGGGAAGGGAATTTTAACCTAAATATACCGTCTGAATCTCTACCGATCATTAATCGATCGATCCGAAGGAAGTAAGAGAGCAGCGAACGCAAACAATCAAGAATAATCTTTGACATTTTGGTATTGATGAACGATGTAAAAATATTTTATACCTTTACACTTCAAAATGAGGCCAACTGGAACGCGATTTCATTTTTGCATGAAGTTGCAACGGTTTAAAATGTGGACAACTTTTCACAGAATGCGCGACTACTTTCTAGTCTACACCATTGTAGAAACAAGCTGAAAAGAAAGAATGGCAAAGGAACGTTCCGTCAATTTCAGTACAAACTTTGTGGCATGCTGCTGTCCTCGAATCGAGTGGAAACGCCCTTTCATAAATCTTATCTACGTCGCTCGGATCTTTGACGTTGGACAAATCTGAAACCGCGTTCTCGAAACGATATCTACCGGACAAATCACGTTCGTTACAGTTTCACGCACAACAAACGGATTTTCCGATCCAGTTGATATTTGTATTTTTTTTTACCCAGCCACCGCTAGCTATCCACACGCGTGTTGCACAATGAGCGTGCAACTCGTGTCGCAGCCAGAGAACACGTGCAACGTTGCAAAGCACGTGCACACCACGTGGACGTTGATCAACGTACGATACTTCCGATCGTCGATCATGCGATAAGCTGGAAAAACGTACACGATGTCCCGCGATTCGTTCTTGGGTAAAATCGCGTCTAAAATAACTGTCGTGAAGGATGGTTCTACGAAATATAGCGTGCTACATGTGATGCCAAATCCCGTAAGTTGATCACAGCGATACAGCGATACAGCAAAAAGACATGAACTTCGAAACGTGATTTGTCTTACCAGCGTGTACCTGAGAAACATACCGATGCATAATGTCGAATTCATCTTTCGCTCTGTCGGTTGCCCAATCCTTCCACATGGCATCAAGTAGCTCTCTGTATTGCGAACGTGTGAAATTAATTTTTTTAATACAGATCCACGTTTCTTTTTTACGTAACATTGGATTAAAAGGAATAAAAGAGTCCATGGTTATATTCCAATTATATGTGCTATATTCTAATTATATTCCAATCGTTCAAAGAGATTCATGGACGACTTCGAATATAATTGGGATATAAGACATCCTTGGAATTTAATTCAACAGAGCTTTTTTCGTGTATAATTATACATATATTTAGAACACTAGTGAAATATGTTGAATGTTACGTTACAAACTGAAATTGAACAAAAATTAAGCCGAAATTAAAGTTATCTCGTGTACATATAATATTATCTTTTAGAATAAAGCAATTAAGGGATTACTTTTCATTATATATACGTCATTTCAGGGAGGCTTTATGCTCCTGCACGAACATCGTGCACGCTATTTAAAAGCAGCACGTGTGCTGCGCCATTTGTAGTACGTAAGTCGTGTCACATGATGTATGTAAACCAAAAGCAATATTCATCGAGTATCAAGAACCAACTATTAGTTTTTGTTGACAACGTAACAAGCAATGCAGTTCCTCTCATGACGATATATTTCTGAAATCTTTCTACAAAATAGCTATTTTTGCTTCCACAATATCGTAGAACATTCAGAGAATACTAAAACAGTTGAAATTATATTATTAATATTAATTACTATTACATCAATAGCACCGACATAGAAAACGTGAACATTATCATAAACTTCACAGAAAAATTCTTCAACTTCGATGTCACTTTGTTCATGCTGTTTTCAATACCGTATAGCATGATGCGCAAAGTTTCAGGACCTGAAATGTAGCAAACATTGTATTTTACAATGAAATGTAGCAAATATTGTATGTTACAATTATTAACGATAAGACAATTAATACATTACTTCTGAAAAGCTTTTCATATTTAACTCAATTAATTCGCCGGCAGTTAAACGTTGTGGAGTTAAACTCCGCCGTAACGCTAACGCGCATAACGCTTGCGTTTTTGGATGCGTGTTGTACCGCAACGCTGCGTATCAGCAAATTTTGTTACGATTTTTTAAATTATATTTTGCAAACATCCATTGAAATGAGGTACAAATAAAGCAGACAATGCAAGGAATAGTAATTATATATCTTTTTCATTTTTCTGAGAGTATGAATATAAAATTGAACTGAAAATTAGATAATCTAGTATTTCTTCTATGGAGAATAATACGATATAAAATCATTTAAAAATAATCATTTAAATCATATAAAATCATTTAAAAGTAATCAAAATAATTGTGAACCAGTGAAGAACAAAATTAATGAAAATGCTTCAAGTATCTTTATCTAGAAATAAATAATTATAATTTTTCTATTATTCGCATCGTTCTTTACCTATGCAAGTCCTTTTGATAAATCCCGGAAGAAAAGAAAGTTTTCATGACAAACATTACTCACATTGTATAGTGAATTTCGTCGAACAAATTTATGACGAATTGTCCTTGCATCGTTCTTGGGAAGCACTGATAAACAGTTGGGATAAGCAGGAAACCAATAAACTTGTAAAAATCGAAACACACTTCCATCATGGCGACCTAATTTCGAACGATCGATAATGCACTGATGTATCAAACATACAAAATTGATTAAAAGAGTCTTACCTGGATCATGTTAATACTAACGCCCATGACTACTAAGCTCATAGTTAAAAAAAGATACGTTACGTGTTCTCGGATTTCTCCAGAACCCTGTCTCACAATTAGGAAACAAAAGGAAAAGATTCCAGGTCACAAAAAAAACTTGCGTAAAAAAGGGTGAAAAAGAGATGTTCGAAATAAAAAATAGACATAGTACGATAATCGCTAAATTTCCAGGGAATATTAATTTATCTTTAAAAAAAGCCAGCGATCGATAAATATTCAAGAAATCTTTTGAAAAAATGAGATTACTAAGAAATATTATACGTTAATGTTGAGAACGATTGAAATTAACCAAAATCTTTTTGAATAACAAGAACCAGTTATTAGTCTTCGTTGACAAAGTAATAAGCAGAATGCGCTCTGTCCTCTAACGATATATTCCTAATATTTTTTTACAAAATAGCTATTTTTTACGGTGTAGAATACCGGTGTACAACATTCGGTGAATGCTAAAAAACTTTCATGAAGTTATGCTAGCTTTACATCAACCTCACTGACAGTGAGAACGTATGATGAACGAATCGAATGATCATAACCTTTACATCGAAAATACTTCAGCCTCGATGTCACGTTCTTCATGCTGTTTTCAATACCGTGTAGTATGATGCGCAAAGCTTCAGAACCTGAAATGGAGCAAATATTTGCCAAAATGTTATAATCATTGACGATAAGACCATTAATACGTTACTTCTGAAAAGCTTTCCATGTTTAACTCAATTAATCCACCGGCAGTTAAACGTGGTGGAGTTAAACTTCGCCGTAACGCTAATGCGTACAACGCTTGCGTTTTTGGATGCGTGTTATACCACAACGCTTCGTATCTGCGATATTTCGTTACAATTTTTTAAATTCTATTCTGCAAACATCCATTGAAATGAGGTACAAATAACGCAGGCAGTGTAAAGAAGAGTAATTATATATCCTTTTCATTTTTTTGAAAAGATGTATGTAAAATTCTACTGAAAATTAGATAATCTAACATTTCTTCCATGGATAACAATAGGATATAAAATCCTTTAAGAGTAATTAAAATAATTGTGAAGAACAAAATTAAAATGCTTCGAGTATCATTATCTAGAAATAAATGATTATAACTTTTCAATTTTTCGCATCGCCCTTTATCCACGAGAGTCTTTGATAAATACAGGAAGGAAAGAACATTTTCATGACAACCATTACTCACATTGTATAGTAAATTTCATCGGATGAATTTATGACGAATTGCCCCTGCATCGTTAGAAAGCACAGATGAACAATTGAGATAAGCAGGAAACTGATAAACTTGTATAAATCGAAGCACATTTCCATCGTAGCAATCTAATTTCGAACAATTAACAATACACTGATGAATTACGTTCAACCAGGTACAGAGTTGATTAATAGAATCTTACCTGAACCATCGTAACACTAACGCACACGGCTATTATGCTGACAGTCAGAAAAAGATACGTGACGTGTGTGTTCTCGATTTTCTCCAGAAACCTGTATTACAATCAGGAAACGAAAAAAAAAAAGATTTTCCAGTCAAGGTAGAAACTTGCGCGAAACTGATGGAAAGGAGATATATTGTTCGAAATGAGAAACTGATATCACAGATAAAAATGACAATCGATAAATTTCCGGAGAAAATTAATTTTTTGTTTAAACGGAAGACAACGATCGATATATTCAAGAGATCTATTGAAAAAATAAGATTTCTAACAAATATCACATGTTAATGATGACAATGATTGAGAGTAACCAAAATTTTTTCCATCATCGTTAATGAATACCAGCATAGCTAAAAAACGGTTTCATCATCCAGAATGAACAATAATTTGATAATGTAATCATCATGCTAAAGTACGAATTCTTCCTCTGTAACTGCGATTTTAATTTGGATAATAACTAGTACAGTCCCTGAGTAATACTGACGTTATAGCCCTTTGATGGCCCTGTATGGAGTACCTTACACTTTCATGCATTTCCTTTGCCTTCGTTCCAGAATATTTCGCAATAAAAGAATTCTTCTTGACTGCGTTTTTGAAGCGATATCTGCAAACAGTGCGAATTTTTCAAAAGAATCTGAATTATTTCCATCGATTCACTCATGGGGCATTTTTCAGTCGTTTACCCGGCCACAGTTAGCAGTCCACAACCATGCTGCACCAGGACCATGTAAAGTGTGTCACAAGAGACCAACACAACGAGCACGACGTAAATACAAAGGGCCAGGTGTAGCTGAATGTAATAGTAATATTCACGATCATCCTTGACGAAATAGTAACCTGGTATAGAGTATATCACTGGTGGCGACGTATTCTGTTGCCTTAACATGTGAAACAGACGCGCCGACCATGGCATTTGAAAGAAAAGTAATGCACATACACCCGCGTTTGCTGAAAGTAAATCGTTTCCTGCCGTTTAATTACATTAAAGTCGTATGTCATTTACTTAAATTAAAATTATAAAATATCGATCGATGTACCGGAGTAGAATTTAGCCAGGAAGCTTCCTCTATTAGCGTACGTCGTCATGATCTCGAATTCTTCTTTCAATCGATTAGTCGCCCAATCTTCGGACATGTCGTTCAGAAGGTTCTCAAGCTGTAATGTTCGTTCGATTGTAATTACAGAGAAAATTTGTCTTGCGAAAATTGGCAAATAGTTTCTTACCTCTGTCGCGTTCAATATATAGTTACCGTGTTTAATTATCATTAGAATCGCTGTCCCTATTAGAGATGACTGCTCTATCACGACATCCAGCGTTCCTATACGTATAATCCTCGCAGTCTGAAATAAACGATTAACATATCCATTTTATTTGCCTGAAAATTTTACTGTAGCTTGTAAATATATAAATGTAATTTCTCGTGATCTAAATTTATATAATTTATATAATAAATTAATAAAATCTATATAATGAAGTTAATGAAATTTATATAATACCCTGATTATTTCGATATTATTGCGATTTCCTCGCCGATCAAATTTTCATACTCTACATTTCAATCATTCACTTAGAATCGCGAAATAATCTGCCGTTTCCTTACTCCTTGCGAAGCATTAGTGGATCGTGATGTGAATTAGTAAACACGTACCTGTGCTATCATGGACGATACCATAGAAATATGGACCACAGCCCACAAAATGACTTTTACGAATTTATTTTGATTCGGCCAGATCCCACCTAACTTGGCGAAACTTTTTGTGACCTTTAAAAATCGCTTCTCTAGTGTTGCTCTGTTCATGATACAAAGTCTACTGTGCAAAATGTAGTTCTACATGTATTTTTACATCTATCTGATAATGTAACTGCACTTTTCCGTGTACATTAATAATGTACCTGCGACAGAGTGCTTCCATTTCAGAAATTACTGTTAACAACAGACCTACATTATTGCAGTGAATGTAAAAAATTGTGAATATTTAATCAACAGTAATTGCATGACGGTATACTGTATGGTATATTGATATTGATCGTGGCATAGTGTGACAACTAAAGTTGTCTGCTTTGTATCACATACATTCGCAATTAGATGAAGTGATTCACGATAAGTGGTAGCCTCTGAAAATGTGAATCCGTTGGATGCCTGGTGGTAGATTCGTTCAGTGCAAGAACCAGAAATCATTGTCGCGTGGAAATCTCCCAAAATGGTGGACATACTGAAATTGAAGTTGCAAATAAAAATAGAAGCATTACTTTTTAAATATTTAATTCTGCATTATTTAAATGTGGGCTATACGTTCAGATGATATTAGAATAACATTGAGTAGATATTTTCACAACATTGCTCGATAACATGGTTGTTCTCGATAAAGTGAATAATACGTTGAATTCTGTGTTAATAAATGTTAATAAATCACACTCCATATCTTTGTTCATGAAGATCTTAATACTGTGAAATATGAAAAGCAAAGTTTCACTACCTAAAATACACCAACATCGTTCCAGCGTGTATATTGTAATTACCAAGAAGGTAACATCATTGATTATAACACATTACTTCTGAGAACGTTGCATGTTCAGTTGTATTAATCCTCCTGCAATTAAACAAGGTGGGGTTAAACTTCGCAGTAACGCTAAGGCGTACAACGCTTGCGTTTCTGGATGCGTGTTGAACCACAACGCTGCGTATCGGCAAATTTCGTTACGATTTTTTAAATTATATTTTGCAAACATCCATTGAAATGAGGTAGAAATAAAGCAGAAAGGGCAAAAAATAGTAATTTTATATTCTTTTCATTTTTTTGAGGAGATGAAAATAAAATTGAACTGAAAATTAGATAATCTGACATTTCATCTATGTATAATAATACGATAATTGAATCCTCTAAGAATAATGAAAATAATTGTGAACCAGTGAAGAAAGAAATTGATTAAAATGCTTCAAGTATCATTATCTAGAAATAAATAATTAGAATTTTTCAATTATTCGCATCGTTCTTTACCCACGCCAGTCTTTGATAAATGTCAGAAGTAAAGAAAATATCCACGACTATTATTACTTACATTGTATCGTAAATTTCATCGGACGAATTGTCCCTGCATCGCTAGAAAGCACTGACGAACAATTGAAATAAGCAGGAAAACGATAAATTCGTAAAAATTGAAACGTACTTCCATCATCGCTATCTAATTTCGAATGATCGATAGTGTACTGATGTATCAAACGTACAAAATTGATTAAAAGAGTCTTACCTGGACCATGTTAATACTAACGCCCATGACTACTAAGCTCATAGTCAAAAAACAGATACTTAACGTGTGTGTTCTCGAGTTTCTCCGGAAACCTGTTTTACAATTAGGAAACAAAAGGAAGAGATTCCAGATAACAAAAGAAACTTGCGTAAAAAAGAGCTAAAAAGAGATGTGTTATCCGAAATAAATAATTAATTTCATTACAGACAAAGTATGATAATCGATAAATTTCCAGGGAAAATTATTTATCTTTAGAAAAAGCCAGCGATCGATAAATATTCAAGAAATCTTTTGAAAAAATGAGATTACTAAGAAATATTATACGTTAATGTTGAGTACTATTGAAATTAACCGAAATCTTTTCGAATATCAAGAATCAGTTATTAGTTTTCGTTGACAAAGTACTAAGCAGGATGCGCTCTGTCTTTTGACAATATATTCTTAATATCTTTCTACAAAATAGCTGTTTTTTAATTTTTACAGTATCGGTGTAGAATATTTAGTGAATACTAAAACAGTTTCATGAAGTTATGCTAGCATTACATCAATCTTACTGACATTGAGAACGCAAACTCATGAGTTTTACGTATGATGAATAAATCGCATGGTCATGAAGTTTGGAACTTGTAGAAAATATTTCAGCTTCGATGTCACTTTGTTCATGCTGTTTTCAATACCGTGTAGTATGATGCGCAAAGTTTCAGAACCTGAAATGTAGCAAATATTGTATTGGCCAATATGTTGTAATTATTAACCATAAAACTATTAATACGTTACTTCTGAAAAGCTTTCCATATTTAACTCAATTAATCCGCCGGCAGTTAAACGTGGTGGAGTTAAACTCCGCCGTAACGCTAATGCGTATAACGCCTGCGTTTTTGGATGCGTGTTGTACCATAACGCTTCGTATCTGCGATATTTCGTTACGATTTTTTAAATTATATTTTGCAGACATCCATTGAAATGAGGTACAAATGACGCAGACAGTGCAAGGAATTGTAATTATATATTCTTTTCATTTATTTGAAAAGATGTATATAAAATTATCCCGAAAATTAGATAATCTAATATTTCTTCTATTGATAATAATACGATATATAATCCTTTAAGAGTAATTGAAATAATTGTGAACCAGTGAAGAACAAAATTAAAATGCTTCAAGTATCTTTATCTAGAAATAAATAATTCTAATTTTCCAATTTTTCGCATCGTTCTTTACCCATGCAAGTCTGACAAATGGGAGGAAGGAAATTTCCTGATGACAATCATTACTCACATTGTGTCATAAATTTCATCGGATGAATTTATAACGAATTGTCCCTGCATCGTTAGAAAGCACAGATGCAACAGCTGAACAAGCAGAAAACCGATAAACTTGTAAAAATCGAAACACACTTCCATCATGGCGAGCTAATTTCGAATAATTAATGATGCTCTGATGAATTACGTTTAACCTAGTACAGACTCGATTAAAAGAATCTTACCTGAACCATCGTAATACTAACGCACACGACTATTATGCCCATAGTCAAAAAAAGATACGTAACGTGTGCACTCTCAATTTTCTCCAGAAACCTGTCTTGCAATCAGGAAACAAAAAAAAATTTTCCGGTCAAGGTAGATTCCTGCGCGAAACGGATGGAAAAGAAGATATATTATTCGAAATGAGAAACTGATATCACAGATAAAAGTGACAATCGATAAATTTCCGGAGAAAATTAATTTTTCTCTAAACGGAAGACAACGATCGATAAACATTCAAGAGATCTGTTGAAGAAATGAGATTACTAGCAAATGTCATATGTTAATGATGACAATGATTGAAATGAGGCAAAATGTTTTTCATGTTGGTTAATGAATACTAGCATAGTTACAAAACGGTTTCATCATGCAGATTGAACAATAATTTGATAATGTAATCATCATGCTAAAGTACGAATTTTTCCTCTGTAACTGTGTTTTTAATTCTGACAATAACTGATACAATCCCTGAGTAATACTGACGTTATAGCCCTTTGATGGCCTTGTATGGAATACCATACACTTTCATGTATTTCCTTTGCCTTCGTTTCGGAATATTTTGCAATAAAAGAATTTTTCTTGACTGCGTTTTTGAAGCGATATCTGCAAACAGTGCGAATTTTTCAAAAGAATCTGAATTATTTCCTTCGATTCACTCATGGGGTAGTTTTCAGTCGTTTACCCGGCCACGGTTAGCTGTCCACAACCATGCTGCACCAGGACCATGTAAAGTGTGTCACAAGAGATGAACACAACGAGCACGACGTATATACAAAGGGCCAGGTGTAGTTGAATGTAATAGTAATATTCACGGTCATCCTCGACGAAATAGTAACCTGGTATAGAGTATGTCACTGGTGGCGACGTATTCTGTTGTCTTATCATGTGAAACAGACGCGCCGACCATGGCATTTGAATGAAAAGTAATGCACATACGCCCGCGTTTGCTGAAAGTAAATCATTTGCTGCCGTTTAATTAAATTAAAGTCGTATGTCATTTAATTAAATTAAAATTATAAAATGTCGATCGATATACCGAAGTAGAATTTAGCCAGGAAGCTTCCTCTATTAGCGTACGTCGTCATGATCTCGAATTCTTCTTTCAATCGATTAGTCGCCCAATCTTCGGACATGTCGTTCAGAAGGTTCTCAAGCTGTAATGTTCGTTCGATTGTAATTACAGAGAAAATTTGTCTTGCGAAAATTGGCAAATAGTTTCTTACCTTTGTCGCGTTCAATATATAGTTACCGTGTTTAATTATCATTAGAATCGCTGCCCCTATTAGAGATGACTGCTCTATCACGACATCCAGCGTTCCTATACGTATAATCCTCGCAGTCTGAAATAAACGTTTAACATATCCATCTTTATTTGCTTGAGAATTTTACATCCATATGTAGCTTGAAAATATATAAATGTAATTTCTCATGATCTAAATTTGTATAATTTATATAATAAATTTATAAAATCTATATAATGAAATTAATGAAATTTATATAATATCCTGATTATTTCGATATTATTGCGATTTCCTCGTCGATCAAATTTTCATACTCTGCATTTCAATTATTCACTTAGAATCGCGAAATAATCTGCGGTTTCCTTACTCCTTGCGAAGCATTAGTGGATCGTGATGTGAATTAGTAAACACGTACCTGTACTATCATGGACGATACCATTGAAATATCAACCACAGCCCACAAAATGACTTTTACGAATTTATTTTGATTCGGCCAAATCCCACCTAACTTGGCGAAACTTTTTGTGATGTTTAAATGTCGCTTCTCTAGTGTTGCTCTGTTCATGATACAAAGTCTACTGTGCAAAATGTAGTTCTACATGTATTTTTACATCTATCTGATAATGTAAATGCACTTTTGCGTGTACATTAATGATGTATTTGCGACAGAGTGCTTCCATTTCAGAAATTACTGTTAACAATAGACCTACATTATTGCAGCGAATGTAAAACATTGTGAATATTTAATCAACAGCAATTGAATGAGGGTATACTGAAGGGTACATTGAAACTGACATATTCGTTTAGTATTGATCGTGGCATGATGTGACAACTAAAGTGGTCTGCTTTGTATCACATACATTCGCAATTAGATGAAGTGACTCACGATAAGTTGTAGCCTCTGAAAATGTGAATCCGTTGGATGCCTGGTGATAGATTCGTTCAGTGCAAAAACCAGAAGTCAGTGTCGCGTGAAAATCTCCCAAACTGGTGGACATATTGAAATTGAAGTTGCAAATAGAAATAGAAGCATTACTTTTTAAATATTTAATTCTGCATTATTTAAATGTGGGCTATACTTTCAGATAATATTAGAATAACATTGTGTAGACATTTTCACAACATTGCTCGATAACATTGTCGTTCTCGATAATGTGAATAATACGTTGAATTCTGTGTTAATAAATGTTAATAAATCACACTCCATATCTTTGTTCATGAAGATCTTAATTCTGTGTAATATGAAAAGCAAAGTTTCACTACCTAAAATACACCAACATCGTTCCAGCGTGTATATTGTAATTACTAAGAAGGTAACATGATTGATACATTACTTCTGCATCCAGTTGGATTATTCTGCCGGCTGTTATACGGGGAGATATTAAATTTTGTCGTAACACCTGAATTTTTGGATGCACATTGTAGCACATATCTATGAAAATTGAATTTTATAAAGTTCGTATATCTTAGTCGACAACCACTCAAATGTAGCATGACATTGATCTTTCAGATCCCGTGATATAATATTCTTTCCATAAATAGTAATTCAGTATAATAATATCTACTCTGTAAAATAATTAAAGTTCATCGTGAATCACTTTTAAAAACTACTTCACTCTTACGTACTCTTTTTGCAGGGACTTCAGTTATTATATTATATTGTGTAATAAATTCGTTTCCTTTTCGGTGTTAGGTTTTTGAGGATATTGAAAGTATGTATCATAAAAAATTCGGTGAACAACTTAGTGAATACAGGAACATATAACATAGATAAATATTACTTATATTTGCCAATAGAAAGAAGACAAACACAATAAATGTGAAATGAATAATAATATGAAATTTAATGTGGAATATTTAAAATGTTAAAACAATCATTTATTATGAAATTGAAAATATTGAACTTACGATTGATGAACGATTTAAGTTTGTTGAAATATCTATTGACATTCAATTGTTAATCATTTCGTATTATTTACAGACAATAGTTATGTAATTCGAGGAACGCAGAAATATGTATTATATACAAACAATTTTTTCATAAAAAGAAAAGACTTCCAAAGTTATTTAATTCACTTGTAATGAATAGTCAACCTTGTAATATTAATTTCATCGTAATGATGCAAACGAATTTACTACACAACCTAATAAGTAAACTATTTCATCCTTGACGAATTCGTGTATGTAAACGTTTTGTTTAGTTATAAATAATCCCAATTTTTCAATTTTCCTCATTGTAACTAAAATTATGCAAGCGATTGACACATAGAATTTAAATAATTTTTGAGAGATTTTTGAATAGATGAAATTGTTTAAAAAATGTTGTATTTCAATGTCGAAAATGATTGAAAGTAATCGAACAAATTTCCCACTATCGTTAATTTTTATTGATAACTAAATTGCGGATTTTATGCATTTTCAAAATTTATATGAACATCAGTGATGAAATAGAATCTAATGAAAATTTTCTTCTGCCCTTAACATTTTCCATATCATTACTTGCGGAGAACGTTGAAATATCGTTTAGAGAAATTCAGTGCGATAAATGTATTAGTGGAACCATATGCAGAATATGAAAAATTGTGAGATGTATATTCTTTATACTGTAAAATAATTGATGTGTGGTACTTTGTTGAATCGTCCTTTGCTCTCATACCAACAGTATCGGCCAATGTTCTCCTTTTCCTATTGTCTCAAGCACAAGTGTTTCTTGATTGAAATATTTTCGTCTGTGCGACGCATAGAAAGAGTTCTACAAATTGGAAGAGCTTACATTTTCGTTCAGATTTATATAAATACCTGAGGCATATAGTTTTACAAGCTGACTGTGAAATTCAATAATATGTCAAGTATGAAAGTAATAATCATAAATGATCCACATATTTAGATCCACATATTACTGTAAAAAAATAGCACACGAATAAAAATAAAAGCAAGTTATTATTTTACTTGGAGTCACATACACGTCGTCATCTTCGTATTGTGCATGAAATTTAATGGACATAATCTGCGCATTCTCATGTTATTAGACAGAAGTAAAATTCAAGTAATTAGAATTGAATCAATTTTTATTTTGTCAATGTTTCTCGCTTATTTACGTTACTTACATTATTCAAGTTATGAACAATATTCATTCGCATATGCTCCGAGAGAATTTCATTCTCATTAGCTAATCAATACGAAGTATACATATATATAAGATGCAATCATTGGCTAATTAGGATAGATCGAACATCCTAGTTACATCCTAGCTGTGGATTTAAGCAAGTACTGTACTGTAATATTATCGGCAATAGGGGAGTTAAAATAAAATAATATAAACAGTGTTGCAGATTTTATTATATATCTGTTGTTGAAATTTCTTTGTCTACTAAACTCGAACTTGACACTTTGTTGCAAACATACGTATATATATATATATGTATGTATATGTACCATTGATAAAAGAGAAAGCGTAGTGAAAGAAATACTGTACTTTCTATGTAATATCAAATGTTAATAATAATTACATATTTCGAATTCAAAAGAAAAAAAAAAAGAAGAAAATGTATTAACCAATTGTACTGACATAAATACTAACGTCAGTTGTCTAAGTACATTAAAGCTTGCAGTCCGAATTACTTTCTCTTCGAATTATGCAGACCTAAAAACTGTGAAATACGAAAAAGATGCTTTGAGAACCTGAAAAGGAATGAATAGTTATTGAATCAATTATTTTCTGAAAGCAATATCTAGGTGTTCTGCGAAAGTAATCTAACCTGCACGAAGCTGAACAAATTTAAAGGGACCAATCCTCCACCTGATAGCGCAGGTGGATTTAAACATTTTCGCAACACCAGTACGTACAATAACTGCGTTCTCGATGAACCAGTATACCAATTGGCTTCGTATCTATATATTAAATGGTACCGTGAATTTAATTAATAAAATCAGCTTAACTGGAACACGTTTTTGAATGAATGCCTACATCTTGTTTCAAACGTACTAAAATTGAAAATATTCTACAATACTGTTTATCGATCTTACATTTTATGAGAAACTTCGTTGTTGGAATTTTCCACAATTTGACCCATAATCGTCAGAAATAACAGATGGACCAGTTGCGCAAAAGTGAATATACAAAACGTGAAGTATCTGGTATCCATTTCCATCGTCGATAACTAATCACATAAAAATAAAATAAAATCATTTATTATATTAATTTTCATGTATCTAAACAGTGTATGTTCTACGATCACAATGATCATCGACTAATACCGCTCAAATAAATATTATATATTTAAATACTTCTGCCTATATATTCGTAACATTCGTTTAAAAACTGGCAAAGAAGAATAGTATCTCATATAGCAAAGAGTTCGTGAAAAGATAATAATATAATATATATGTATTATAATTGTAATAGTATTATATTTATAATTATAAGATGTCATAGTTGCATCGTAGATTATGTATTTATTTTACTGAGAAATTTGATTATTTATATAACGAATATAAAAAAATAAAAAGTGTCCCAAAGCATTTAAAAGTTTGCACTTGCATTCATTGTGACCGTAACGCAAATCGTATTTTCTAATTAAAATCTAAATTGTGACTTTCAATAATAGTGATTAAACTTGAGCAATTCAATTTTTTGTTAGCGCATTTTGTTTGACTCACCCTAATAAAAGTAGATGTGAATGCTGTGATTATTATGCCCAATAGTACGAAGAAATAATGCACGTAGCAGGCGTCGATTTTCTCCACGTATCTAATGTGACAAAAAAATGTATAAAATATCGAGCATGCACAAGATGTTTGGTGCTCATTATATAATATACAGCGGTACTAACTCGACAGCTCTTTTGTGACCTTCGATAGATCGGCACACCTTCGCGTAAGCTTCATGCATTAACGCATCGTTGTACTTTTCATCATATAGATTCACATCGTCTAACGCGTGCTTGAAACGATATCTGTGCATATTTTTTTTTTTGTTCTTTTTTTTTCTTTTTATTACATGTAATCAATGTTTCGTGTTTAGAAATAGTGGAAAATATAGAGAATAGAAGATGGATGATATTTATAGGAATGAATTTTAGGCAAGTCTGGAGATAACGAGAAAAGTTCTTGTGAAAATGCAAATTTTTCGAAATTCAAGCAATTTCATTTTGTGCTACAAATAAATTCTCCGAACGGGATTAATCATTTGACTCAGTTTCATTCTTATTTCGTTCTTCTTACGTGTTTCTTCTTTTCCAACATTATATAATGAAAAGGGCAAAGAACATGCACAGTACTAAAGTATACTCACCCGCTGATGGCCAACAAAGCACACCCATGATGTATGAGATGTATCAAATTTACATCACAGGCGATATATACAGACGCAAGTACTAGTGCTGATATTATCATATTCACCAGTATAGGATAATAATATCGTTGTTCATCAACGAAAAAATAAGCGGGGTAGACGAATTCGCGGCCCCGTGACTCGTTCAGGGGAGCTATGATGTTCAAAATAGGTGGTATGGCCGGTATGAGGATAAACGTCAAGGCTGATGTGGATATACTGGCTAAATACAAAGGAGTAACGTGTAAAATAAAATAATAATTTTATATATCGAACATACGTCGGCGATTTCAATGATCTTAAGATAGTACTCTTAAAAAAGTGTGTGGAACAACATTGATGTGGATCAACAATATTAGTAGGAGACGTGATATCAGGGCAACACGTTGGTGGTTAATACTCCGGTATTAGTTTAGTAGGTAATGTAATAATTTGTTCATTCTTTTTATTACCTTTATATATAAAAGAAAATATTAGCGCCTTCCTGTAGTATGTGTCCAAAATTTCCATTTCCTTCTTCGGTCGTTCCATCAGATGATCGAACACAATTTCTCTTAAAAGTTCTTCCAGCTACAATAGGCAATTTTAAGAATAGGAATACTTATCGGAATTATTGTAAAATGTCAATGTTTCACCTTCTTCTCATTCAGGATGTAGTTATACTGTTTAATTGGAACTGTTACAGTTATAACTAGATACACCACTTCATCCATCAGCGCGTCTATACTATAAGATACTATTACCCGAGATGCCTGTAACGTATAAAAAAATCACTTTCATTGCGGTGTGCCAGTTGTCACATATATATTACGTCGAAAAGTTTTAGAGCATAAAACGTCACAGGCGAAAAATATCATCTGTCACATTTTAAGAAATGTATGGAAGAAAAAAATAATACCTGGGTTGCAAGGGCAATAATGACTAAAACAAATATAACAAGCCGTATAGAAAATTTAGTGAACCTTTCCTGATATGGCCACACACCGACTAACTGCGCGAAAAATTTGTTGTCTCTGAGATATTGATCTTCAACTGTCTGCCAACTCATAGTCATAGAATGTGTAGTCGGATATTGAAATGTACATACGATCCTCAGCAAAAGTAAAGCGTGCAATAAGAGACAATTATTTATTTAACGTGAAAAGTGAAATCGTTTTATTGTACGTACGGTCAATATAAGAAACGATGTTTTCTCCTCCTTCTACATTTTCCATACTATTATTTGCGAAACACTGAGGAATATCGATTAGAATAATAACGTTAAGTAAAGTGAATCCATAGGCAGAATATTAAAAATTAACTGCGAAATGCATTCGCTTCATATTGTGAAATAATTGATATGTAGTATTTTGGTCTTTGCTCGTTCTTTGCTCTCATACCAACAGTATCGGCCAATGTTCTTTTCCTATTGTCTTAAGCACAAGTGTTTCTTGATTGAAATATTTTCATGTGTTGCATAGAAAGAATTCTACAAATTGGAAGAGTTTATTATTAGTTTATTTTACTTGGAGTCATGTATGTGTCGTCATCTTCGTATTGTGCATGGAATTTAATGGACATTGTCTGCGCATTTCTATGTTGTTACACAGAAAAAATTAGAATTCAGGTATGTAACACTGAATTGATTTTCATTTTGTCAAAGTTTCTCAATTACTTACGTCGTTGCTTATGTGTTATTCAAGTAATAAACAACATTCGTTCGCAAATTCTCCAAGTATTTCATTCTCATTTGCTACGTCAGTACGTACATACATATTGCTAATAGAGCTAATTAATACAAACGAAGTATATGGATAAGATGCTTATTGATTAACTAGAATAGACCGGACATCCAATACTTTTTGTTGTCACATTATGTTTGTCACCTTAGCATTTTCATGTCACATCTTTGCTAGTTTTAGGCAAGTATTGCATTGCGATAGGGGAATTAGAATAAAAAAATACAGACAGTGTTCATTAATGATGTCATCAGTGGCATCATTAATCAATTGATTATAATGAATTATAATTATAATCAATTTTGTAAATTTCTAACATTAATGCTAATTTAATTATAATATTAATTTGTAACTGTAGAGTACGTTTTTCAACTGAAATATAAATACGTATTTCTCGTGTATCAATTTTATATTGTTTATTCTTTTTTAAATCTTTTATACAACTTTTGAGCATTGATTATTTCATGATTGTCAAGATGAAGTATCTTATATTTGTTCAGGTAAGGATGCTTACTTTCTATTGTGACTGAAACACTAATGATAAAATATATTTTATTATAATATAATACTTTATTAAATATTTTCTAATTACTCATATTATTCAAACGGAAAACGACTTTCATTTGCAAATACTCCGAAAATTTCATTCTTACCTAAGTACGAATACGTCATCAACAGCATCGCTCAGACATTTCGAGATTTTTTGCATTTGAAAAAAATAGAAAGCGCAAAGAAAGAAATCATACAGAAATATTTTATTTTCTCTGTAATACCAGATGTTAAAAACGACTATCAGACGTACACTAGTTATAATAAGTACTATTATCAGCTATTTAAAGTACTCGAGCTATTTAAAGTACTTCATTCATTATTTTTTCTTCAAACTACTGAGAGCTAAACACCGTGTAATATGAAAAAGATAATTTTAGGACCTGAAAGAAATTAATCGTTAATGAATCATATTCGTGATCAGTTATTTTTTGAAAACAATACTCTGCGGGACTGGTAAGCTAACCTGTACGAAGCTATAGAAATTCAAAGGGATCAATCCTTCACCTGTTAGTGCAGGCGAATTTAAACATTTTCGCAACACCAGTACGTACAACAATTGCGTTTTCGACGCACCATTGTACCACTTGGCTTCGTATCTGTATATCGTATTTTATTGTGAGATTGACTTGAATGGAATGTGTTATTGAAGCAGTGAAATTCTTACAGCTAATCTAGCAATTGAAATTATTGAAAGTAAATTGAAATTGTCTAACAATGTTTATCGATCTTACATTGATTGATAGACTTCGTCGTGGACATTGATCACAAATTGCCCCAAAGACATCAGAAAGAACAGATGAAACAGTTGGGCAAAAGTGAATAAGCAAAATACGTAGTAATTGAATCCTTTTTCCATCATCGACAACTATACGCAGAAAATAAAAACAATTCATTACATTAATTTTCACGCATTAATTAAACGACGTACGCTCAACAAATTGTGCACCGAACCACACGTCATACATCAGATACATATATACATATGTACATCTCTGCTGAAAATGCTTAATACATTGTTTAGTGGATTAAAAACTGAAAAATTGACCACCATTTTATACAACAAAGAACAAGTTATTGTAGAATACGCATGCAACAGAAACATTATCATTGATAACTCTGTTCCTTGTATTTATTGTAACCATAATGCAAATCGTATCTGTCAATTAAAGTTCAACATGTGTTTCCCAATTTTTGTGATAAAAATGCGCAATAAAATTTTTGTTAGTGGATTGAAACCTACCCTCACGAAACTGGATGTGAATGCTACGATTATTAGGCCCAAGAGTAGCAAGAAGTAATGCGTATAGCAGTCGTTGACTTTATTCACGAATCTAACGTGGCAAACGGTATAAAAACAAATCTGTCATATACAAGTTTATTGATTATTATGTAATATGCAACGATACTGACTCGACAGCTCTTTTGTGTCCGTTGATGGCTCGGTACACATTCGCTTTCTGCCGTACGTCGTTGTCCTTTTCGTCACATCGACTCACCTCATCGAACGAGTGTTTGAATTGGTATCTGTGCATATCTTTATCTTGATCACATGTAGTCAAACATCCGTGTTTAAAAATAGAAGACGAAATAAAAATAAAATAATAGATCATATGTATATAGATGAATTTTAGACACCGAGATAATGATGAGAGCTCTATTGAAATAATGCGATTGGCGCCAGTTTTACAAAATCCGGGCAAGCGTTCTCTCTATTTCCCTTATACTTTGTTTTCACTTCTCCAGTATCAAATATGAACGCCAATCGAAATACTCCTCTCTTCGTTTTATCGATGTCTGTCACGCGGTTCTCTAAGTGTAAAAGAAACCGTACTCACCCGCTGATTGATAACAAGGAGCAAGCATGATGTATGATATAAATCAAACTGATGTCACTGGCCATATATACAACGTTTAATACTATTACTGCCATTACCATATGCGTTATTATGGGAAAATAATATCGTTGTTCATCAACGAAATAATAAGCCGGGTAGACTAATTCGCGGCCTCGTGACTCGTTCAGAGGTTTTATGATATTCAGAAGAGAAGGTATTGCCGGTAAAGAGATGTACCCCACTGCGGTAAATTTCAAGATACCTAAACACAAGGAGAACAAAGTGTAAAATGGAATAATAATTATTTATAACAGATATACCTCGGCAATTTCAATAATGAGACATTATTCTTCGAAGAATGTATTTTACAATATCCATAAAAAAACTTCTGAATGTATAAAAAATTTTTAACAGAATAATTTGTCAACTCCCGTTGCTGATTGTCTCTGTGGTGGTTTCTGTAATGTAACAATTTATTCTTCTCTTTTATTACCTTTATATATGGTGCAGATGAATTTCGCCTTGTTATAATACATATCCAAAATTTCCAGTTCTTCCTTCGGGTATTTCGTCAGGCGGTCGATCACGATTTCGTTTAAAAGATCCCTTATCTACAATTTTAGAGAAAAGGATAATTATCGAAGATATTTCAGTTTTTTATCGGCTCTTCACCTTCTTCTCATTCAGGATGTAATGATATTGTTTTACGAAAATGCTTATAGCTATATCCATATACACCATCTCATCCAACAGCACATCCGTACTGTAAAATACTATTACCCGCGATATCTATAACGTATAGAGAAATTACGTTCATTCTCATTACGATTTCACATTTTTATTCACATCAAAAATTCTATTGTACGAAGGACATCATTCGTCACAAAGGGAAAAAAAAAAAAAAATACCTCGGTTGAAAAGGTAACAATGATCACAAGAAATGTAATAATTCGTATAGTCAATTTAGCAAATCTTCCCTGATGTGGCCACAAACCGACTGCCTTCGCGAAAAATCGCATATCGCTGAAATATTGGTCGTCAACTGTTTGCCAGTTCATAGTGAAACTGTGAAGACTGCAGCCCGATAAATCGAAACGTACGTACAACCCTCAACAAAAGTAGAGCAACGTGCAATAAAAGGCATTATTTATTTAATATGAAAAGTGAAATCGTTTTATTATTCACATGGACGATAAAAGAAAAGGATGTTTACTTCTCTCCTTATATTTTTTTTTATCATTACTTGCGGAAAACGTTGAAATATCGATTAGAATTGCAGCGCGATAAGTGGCTGAGTGGATTCATATGCAGAATATGAAAAATTAATTCTAAGATGTGTACGCTTCGTATTGTAATTACTGTCTATATTGGTGAATCGCTTTTTGCTTTCATGCGAGCAGTATCAGTCAGCCAGTATATTCCATTACCAATTGTCTCAAGCATAAGAGTTTCTCAAATGAAATATTTTCGTGCGTTTGATGCATAGAAAGGATATCGTGTTAGCTGCAAGCTGACTGTGAAATTCAACAATATAGTGTTAAGTACAAAAAGAATAATCATAAATATGATCCACAGATTTAGATATTACTGTAAAAAGTAGCATGTTAATAAAAATACAATCAAATTATTCTTATACTTGAAGTTATGTATATATGTCTTTATTTTCGAATTGTTAGAGAGAAATTTAATGGACATGATCTCTGTATTTCCATGTTATTAGACAGAAATAATTAAAATTCAAGTATGTAACACTGAATTGATTTTCATTTTGTCATAGTTTCTCAGTTACTTACGTTACTTTGTTATTCAAGTAATAAACAATATTCATTCGCATATGCTCCGAGAATTGGCTACGCAAGTACGTGTACATTGGCGATAGCTAATACTGAGCTGATACAGACGAAGTATATATATATAAACCTAAGATGCCTAATTAGGATAGACCAGACATCCAAATTTTTGTCGTATATGACGTTATGTATATAAGTCACTAACCAACTGAACAACAGTGAACGCGCAAAACGTGAAGTACGTTGCTCCCACTTCCACCGCTGATATCTAGTCATAAACAATAAAATCATTCGTAAAATTAATTTTCATGTATTACTTAGTTATACATGAAATCTATGACCACAATAAATTTGTATTCAGATATGAATAAAGATTACTGTAGAATATATGTGCAACAAGGAAGGTTAATTATCATTGATAAATATGAAAAACAATTGTCACAAGATATATGCGAGAGGGTGGCCATTACGTTCATTATAACCACAGTGTAAGTCTGTTAATTAAAGTTTAAGTGTTCTACAGTAACGGTGATAAAATTAAATTAAAAATTTCTCATGACTAGATCTCCCCTAAGGTTGAAGTAGTCTCGTCTTTACAACGAGTTCTCTTAAAACTTGCTGATTCCCTACGCCATTTTATGGGACCTTGAATTTCCATGACGAATTGTCAGGATTTTCTTACTTTTTCCTTCTCGTTCAATGGTAATATTGAAAAAAAATTGTAAAGGACATTTTATAGAGTCAACACGAGGGATAGACTTCATTCTTTAAGATTACGTTGAATTCATTCATGAACATAACAATTCAGCGGTTTTGGAGAACTTCGTATTATTTAAGATCAGCTTTATGAAAATTTCAATAGACTACAAACAATTCTTTAATACTAAATGCACGACTTTTACGTTTCAATTGATGTCTAGTGTAGTAAATTGAAAGTATAATAAATTAAAAAGGAATTTAATACATATTTTAACTAAACTAATTACACAGTACATATTTTGACTGAACTAATCATAAAATACCAACAGGAATAACAGTAGAAATATTGTGTATGAATATGACAATTTACTGTACTCAAGAAACTTAAATCATGTTACTCACCGATTATTAAACCGAAAATTACAAAATGAAATTTGGCCCATCTTAGATTCGTGAATTCCTGACTCTTCCGTCTCACAAGTTCTGCCATTGCACTGACGTTTACGACATCTTGGCAAACACACTTTGCACTAACACTGATTAGGCTACAAAAATAACTGAGTAAATGCTGTAGCGACGTGTTGAAGAAGAAAGTCATTTACGTTCCAAGCACTTCATTTCTATTTCAATGCACAGAGTCAGTAAACGAGACTAAGACAATTCACAATGCATGTTTACGCACTAATTAACAAATTAATGATTCAATTGTTTTAGATAGGCGTTGTGGAAGTTTTAGATTTCTGAATACTTCGAATATTTAGGAACATCATAAAAAATCAATTTATACGACGTGCACGCGTCGGAGGTTCACGCAGCAATGGACTCCTGGCGCAGTACTACCGCAGGATATTAGCTGGATACTGTGCAACAGGTAGCAAAGTTTGTCAATATGTTGGGCAGTAATTTCTTCGTTGCATCAATCGGTAACTAAATAATTGTTTGCTTCCTTCGAAGTCGGAAGAATTTGTATAACTTATGTTAATATTACTGTATAATGACTGTTTGCAGGATCTAGTTACACCTGTACGTATTTTACTAAAATAATTCTTTATTGAAATCCCAATTATAAAAGTTGCAACACAAAACTGATTTTTGGTTACGAATAACTATTATCAATTTCAAAAACATTTTAACAGTCATCATCAATTATTCATGTACACGCGCGGTTGAAATAAAAGTCATTCTCATTGTTCTATTATAGGTATTTTGAAATAACATCATTTTATGCCTAATTTATCTCTATATTCTAATAGTTCATTCCTAAAATCAGTCTGCAAAAGATATGCAACATTTGTTTTTACAACATCTGGAAATACACCATTTCAAGTAGCATTAATACTAATTAATAACGTTATTCTACGATACCAATAGCAATGTCAATACCAATACAATAATAGCCGATGCTGATGAAACAATTACTCTCGGTAATTTGAATACTAACGCGAATTTCACGTAACAAATTGGAAACTAGATCCGAGAATCGACCTGATGAAAAAAATCTGAATCCTACAATTAACATATTTAAGAAAAACGAAACTGTAATGTGTTAAACATTTTATTACGTTTACCACATTCCGGGCATAATTGTTTCTAACGATCGAGTAGTTTCTGAATTTGAAATCATTAATTAATTGATTATAACGATTGATTATAATGATTTATAATTATAATCAGTATTATTAATTTCTAACATTAATGCTAGTTTGGTTGTAATATTAATTTATAACTGTAGAGCACGTTCGATTTCAACTGAAATATAAATACGTATCTATCGTGTATTTATTATGTTAATGTTATTTATTCTTCTTTTAAATCTTTTTTACAAGATTTGGTAATTGATTACTTGATGATTATCAAGATGAAGTATCTCAACTCATATTTGTTCAGATAAGGATGCCTATTTTGTCTTGTGACTGAAACACTAATAATAAAATATACTTTATTATAACATGATTCATTATTAAATACTTTGTACTATATTTATATTTTGAATACTAGACAAACGTAACACGATTTTTAATTGCTACTACTCTAAAAACGTCATTGTCATGATGTTTATACGGATATGTCTGCAGTGGTATTGATTAATATTTCAGACATTTCGGGATTTGTTGTATTTCAAAAAATAGAAAGCGAAAAGAAATATTATATTTTCTGTGTAACATTGATGTTATCAACTAACTGATTCGAATGCAATGAAAGAAGTATACTAGTTATATAAAGTACTAATATATTTAACTTGAAAAGTTATAAAGTAATAAAAATCTTTTTTCACATTACTTTCTCTTCAAAAACCATTAAGAGTTAAACACCGTGTAATATGAAAAAGAAACCTTCAGGACCTGAAAGAAATTAATCGTTAATGAGTCATATTCATGATCAGTTATTTTCTGAAAACAATAGTCTGCGGAACTGGTAAGCTAACCTGTACGAAGCTGAACAAATTCAAAGGGATCAATCGTTCACCTGTTAGTACAGGCGAACTTAAACATTTTCGCAACACCAGTACGTACAACAATTGCGTTTTCGGCGCGCCATTGTACCAGTTGGCTTCGCATCTGTATATCGTATTTTATTGTGAGTTTAGGTTGACTTGAATGCAACATGTTATTGAAACAGTGAAATCCTTACAACTAATCTAGGGATTGAAACTAGGGGTAGAACAGTGTTTACCAAATTGATATTGAAATTATTGAAATTAAATTGAAATTGTTCTACAACTACATCTATCGATCTTACATTGTTTGATAGACTTCATCGTGGATATTAACCACAATTTGCCCCATTGACATCAGAAAGAACAGATGAAACAGTTCGGCAACAGTGAACATGCAAAATACGTAGTACGTCGTTCCTTTCTCCATCATCGACAACTATACGCAGAAAATGAAAAAAATTTATTAAATTAGTTTTCATGTATTAATTAAACGACGTATGTTTAACAAATTGTGCACTAATCCACGCATCATNACATCAGATAAATGTATACATACGTACATCTCTGCTGAAAATGCTTAATACATTGTTTAGTGGATTAAGAACTGAAAAATTAACCACCATTTTATACAACGAAGTGGGTTACTGTAGAATACGCATGCAATAGAAAAAATTAATTATCTTCGATAAATTAATACAAAGAATTAAATGTGTCTGCTTTTTGTATTCATTGTCAATTAAAGTTCAATATGTGTTTTGCAATTATTGAGAAAATAACGCAATAAAATTTTTGTTAGTGCATTGAAACCTACCCTCAAGAAAGTGGATGTGAATGCTATGATTATCAGGCCCAAA